TTGTATAATGATAAAAAATTCTGATTTCGGACAATTCATTTATCGAGATAACACCATCGCTCAAATTTCAATATTCAATATTCAAAAGTATTGAATAAATTTGCTTCCTTGAACGTTGATAAACATTTTGATGTGAACAATCGGATAATTAACTGGGATAATTTAGATGTTGCATTTAAACATTTATAACTCTAACGCATACAATGTCGTGTACGAAAGTTGCGGACAACCGCAAAGTTAGAGCGAGGAACTCGATCGTCCAGTTTTTATTTTCCCACTTTATCGTTCTGCTATTAATTTTAGAAACAACCGACGACTCTACGAAATGTATTAATTTTATTTTTGGCGGTGAACCGCGATCGTTCTGTCCATCCCTGCGACTTACAATTACTTTAAGGCAGCGCGGATACTCGCGGAGCGTATGCATGTACAGTGTAAAAGATGCGTTGTGGATATGTACAGTGTAGAGGTATAATTGAGCGAGCAAGGTGATAAAAGAGAAAACACACAAGAAACGCGTATATATTATAGCTATGAATAAGTGCATAAGGCGCGAACGTGTGCACGTGTCGTGCGACGTCCCGTTTATTTTCACGAAAGCGCTGTGTTTTCCCCCTTTCGCTCTTTCTTCTGCAGCCAGTCATATAGCGCGCGGGCGCAGGATCGTACGTTTCCTGTGTCGTTGTCGCGCGACGCGTGCTCTCGTCGGCGGGCCTCGTCTATCTTGTAAAATATCTGTGAATATTATGATTTAGTTTCTTCCTATTTGTAGGCTACAAGGTATACAAAAAAATGTTTATGTTAATCATTTAAGGAGAATGTACAGATATCACTATATCCTTTTTTGTTTTGTGTTTTACTGTAGTTATTGATAATTATATGGATATTAACGATAATAATAACTATGATTAAAAAGAAAAAAAACTTAAGCACGGCTCGATTGCGTCATTCTTGAAAAACCCGCTAATATGCGCAATATATTTATTCTGTGTAAGAGAACTCTCGGTGATAATGTATCATTTGTATATTAGTAATTACGTGATCTCCTAATAATCGAAAAAAAAAGAATGAAACTTGAATAGTATTGATATACGTTGCGACGTCACACCGTTCCATCTCCTAAATTCGTCACAATCTCCACGATTTATTTCCGCGCCGTCTACATGCGTTCTTCTGAAATGTTAATGCGTTGAAAAAAAAACGTATGTTAAGAACTTTCTTTTTATATTAGATCAGGAGCTGGACTTCTCGCTAGAAAGGTAATATAATAAAACACAAACTATTACCTCGAACATTGACGTATATTTCTTACGGTCTTACATTCGTCATGCTATTCGTTAATTTTACCAATGGATCGCAACAATGCCGCAGGACGTACTCAAGCTTGTTCTACATAATCCTATCGAGCAATATACGGATTTATGCAGACAGTAATCAGCACAGGAAGTTTTCCCAGAAATCTTGTTAAAGAAGGCTCAAGCTGATACGGAAACAAACAATAGTCGTGACTCTACGTCGCGACTTACAAACAAGGTAAATTTAACCCTGCTCTTTATGAAACACAAGTATTTTGATTGTCGAGAGCACTCATTTCCGAAACGCTCGTCTAAGGCTCGCTACTCCATTCGGGCCAATCTTGAATCTGTACGTAGAGGTCACTTCCAGGACTGGCTGTTTGAATTACCTGTCGTCCACCGAGTACGCGTACGTTGCTTCGAAGAATGCCTTGGGATTTCCCGCAGTTGATTAATTGGTGTGCGGTGTCTAACATTCTCTGGCTAGCATCTTTGTCTAAAAGAAAAAGAGATCATCGGAATGGAGCAATTCCCAATACGCAAGAGAACTTGTATTCATTATCGTCGATGAAACAATTGCAATGCGTCTTGCGACTTATCGCGATTAATACTTACTCTGAAAATTTCCAATGAAAGCTATACCGAGAGATTTTTTATTGTATCCGTACGTATGTGCCCCTTCGCGGGTCCATCCGCATCCTTCGTATACATTTCCATCTCCGCCAATCAGGAACCTTTAGAAACAAGGGCAATAATTATTAAATAATAGAGTACCTTCTACATACAACATTAATAGAAGCAAAATGTGATAAATTTGTGCCTGGCTTATGATTCGCTTTCGAATGAACCAGAGACATCTCCGTATGATTGTGATTGAGATAAACGTAGCTTACGAGTAACCGATGTCGTCCCAGCCCAGTTCGTCCATATGGTAACCGCGAATGTTGTTAACACGATCTGTGCATGTGTCGCGCGAGCTACACTCGGCGGTGACTGTATGATGTATTATCACATAAGGTATCGGTACTATTAAATAATTGACATCCCCAGCTGGGACGTTGGTCCATTGGCTTCTGCTGATAATATTCGGACACTTGACCTCTGCGAAAAAGATTCAGTCAAAGATATAATTTTAAGTAGAATTGTAATGTTAAAGAGAACCCACATGTACCAACGATGTAAATATTTAGATCCAGGGGCTCGATTCTTGAATTCATTCGAAGAAGAAACGTATACGAAAATTCTGCTCTGACAGAAAAGTTGAAACTCGATTGGTTAAAGCCATTCGAATAGCCAATCAACTTGCAACTTTTCTGTAAGAGCAGAATTTTCGCATACGTTTCTCCTTCGAATATATTCAAGAATCGAGCCCCTGGGTGTTTACGCCCAAATTTGAGGGTAAATTCGGACAATTTTAAACTGTGGCACAAAGTGACGAATACGCGGCCGCGCGCAGTTGAGAATTTAGAAAGATACTCACTGGCGAAACTGGCAGGAAGCGCCAGCAGAAGTACGAAGCAGATTCTCGATATCATCCTCACAGCACAGAACGACGGTGTGCGACTGTACGGGTGGAAAGTCGGAAGCTCAAAATATAGCGCCAACAGTATCTCGGGTTGCGACCTGCGATGAAACGATAACGAGACTCGCTGAATAATCTTAAATTCCCGGCTTTTCTATACAATTTCTTATCGCAGCAGGGAGGGGAGAAAAAATTAGAATACGATTTTGTTATTTGTCTTATTACTAAACGCCAATAGATACAAAATATTTATTAATAACTATAGCAATTTCTATTATAAACATCCGCTATCTTTCGCTCTCTATCTTAGAAATTAATTATAATCAAGAGCAATTTGTTGTATTGTTCTAATGGGAAACGAAACCACGATATATCGACGGAGGCGATAACTCGCTTTCGAGAATCGACTCTCGGGCACGTTCTCGCCCGACACTTGGCCTTCCTAGCGTTTCCGCGTATTTTTGTTTAGCAGATAAGTACTGGATAGATCGAGAGGAAAGGGAAATTGAAAGGGACGCAATGGAGACCGTGCGACCGTGCGGCTGCAAAGGGATACGCTCTTGCTTGATTTGCGAGGCCGAATACGAAATCTCGAAGCCGGATCTGCGGAACGAGTTGCAGGTAAAACGGAGTCCCTTAACCTAGAAACGGTACTCGTGATATCGGCAGTGTCAAAAGGACCGGGGGAGATCAAAGTTCGGTCGACGGCACGTTAAATATCTCCGAAAAAAAAGTAAACTGCAAGTTTTAGCGAGATTAATCGCGGAATTTTTCTCCAAGTCGGGAACGCAATAACGCAATCGCAATCGCGACGAAACACATCAATTTCAGGGACTTCCCCTGATCATCTTATTAACACATACGTTTTTTTACTCTTGATGATTGATGTATTGTGCAGAGACGTAGCTAATCTAATCAGCGCCCGCGGCCAAATGCTCGACATTTCCAATTCTAAGTCAAATTACAATGTAAACACCTTAATTTTTTTAAGGACCTGGCACAGACGGAGGTGGCCACTTGAATTATCATGCGAATCCGTATACCGTATTTATTCCATCCTGTCCATTTCTATTTTGCGCCCCCGCTTCGTTATTTGTACAAGCTTGTTAATACATGTGCTTACTTGTGAGATATTTCTCTAAGTACCGTATCTCTCCAGGTACAACGACGAGGAGCCGTTTGACTATTTGCAATTTTCAATAGAATCGAGGTATTAGCGACTCATGACCTTTTACGAAGTAATAAAGGATATGAGAGCCAAGACAGGACGTTAGTGTCCAAATGATTTCAATTTTTAAATTCTTCGCGAAAAATCTACCTGGGTTTGAACCTGGACCTCCCTCTCACTAGGCGGACGTCTCTTGAGGTAAGTTTCTCGCAATGAATTTAAAAATTAAAGTCATCTAGACACTAACGTCCTGTCTTGGCTCTTGTATCCTTTATTACTTCGTATTTGTAATTTCACATCAGAGCCTTATGAATTTTACTTGTCTTTTCTATTCTAAAAGTGTATGCAACAATGGAGATAGAAACAACAGTGCGGAGAGACGAATTTTTTTCACAGATATATTCTATCTATAATCCACGATTATATGGAGTAATAATGTTGTTAAATTGTTAGGTGAAGTTTAATGAAATTTGTAACGCGAGGCGATATTTTATCAGATTTTTAATCCTTTGCATTCAACATTTTATTCCCACAACTTGGTAATTAAATAACATTCATTTTTGAACGCCGGATTTTATTATTAATGCGTTGTCATGTTTAAAGACTTAATAAAAATGTATTAACTCTTAGCAGTATCCATGTCGAATGTAACTCGATGTTCGAGTTGCTGGAACAAAGTGTGACGTTGAGTACAGCTCGACTTTTGAGTGCAAAGGGTTAATATATTAATTTTAAAACAAGCTATGTATATATACGTAAAAAGCAAAATATAATTAATAAATTTAAACACAAGAAACTTAAAGAGGATACTTGCATTTAAAGGAACGAGAGTGATAAGAGTAGCCTTGAAAAATAGAATATCCAACTTACAAAATCTACACCTACTTGCTTAGGATTATCATCTTTTACAGAAATTATCTTTTCTGAAAGATATAGTTTAAGAAATTTATATACCTGAGAATTTCGCCACTCAGTTGCCGTCTTTTCTGCCGTTTGTCGTATACTAGTCTACCGGTTGAATGCGTTTCTAGCTGGTTTAGGAATAAAATACCAGAGAAACCAGTTTGCAGTTGCTTACGTGAAAAGATGAGGCATTTACATCTTGGTCCTTTTTTTGCCTTGTACTACTTACTCTTCTGTGCAGCTGAGAGAGCGTAAACCCCCATAACACTGGCTGGAATTAAGAAAGATATATTCTACAGAAATTCATTTAATTATACAATTTGTGAAACAAATTACTCTCCGATTTCTTGCCTATAGCTTAAGATTTATTATATAACTTGCAGAAAAATAAAAGCTACGTTTATTGTCCACATTGCGATAAATTATCGCCTGGATGGGACGTAGATGAATACAAGAAACATCCGCATCACAACGGGAACTTAATTGATTATCCCGGTGTTTACATCAAGGTAACGTGATTACTGCACTTTATAATATATCTTTTATATCATAGTTGACATTATACGTATATAATATACATGTCCCAGCTAGATTTTCTGAAGGAAGATGAATCGGAGGGGCTTATGAAAGCGCTCGATGACCTTCCTTGGCAAACCTCACAAAGCGGCAGAAGAAAACAGGTACGGTATTTCTGAAGCGTTTGGAAAAATATTTCTGCATATTCACATGTATTTTATACCAAAACGTTTCGATTCGTAGAATTTTGGACCAAAATGTAACTTCAAAAAGCGAAAATTGCAATTAGGATCATTTAATGGGTTTCCCAAAACGACACAGTTTGTACAGAGAAAATTTGAGGAAATACCATTGTTACACGGCTTTCAAACTGTTGAGCAGTGCTCGCTCGAGTATGATCCTAAACGAGGCGCTTCTATCGATCCCCACGTGGACGATTGCTGGATCTGGGGCGAACGTATAATAACCGTGAACGTTCTCGGTGATTCAGTTTTGACTATGACCCATTACCGTGGTCCTTCAACACGATACAATTTAAACTGCGTTTCGAATTACGATTCCATCCTGGAGGAAGACACGGGCGATAATACGCAACCTTTGGATATCCATGATAACGTGGTAATACGATTGCCGATGCCTGCCAGATCGCTCATGGTCTTATATGGTCCAGCACGGTATAATATTCCGCTTATAAATATTAGAAACGAAGGTTGAAATATTATTTAATTATACGGTTCTTGTTCGGCAGATACAAATGGGAACACTCCGTGCTTCGACAGGACGTGGCGTCGAGACGCGTCTGCCTTGCCTATCGCGAACTAACGCCTCCGTACCTCGAAAACGGAGAACGTCAAGAGGAAGCTGCCGAGATTTTGAGGCAAGCTTCACTTTTCTGGTAATGTTACATAACAAATTTCAATAATTGTTATATTTATAACTAAAATTGTTAATCCTCGAGGACATGATGGATGTAAATACTACTCTAATAGAATAAAGATATTTTATTCTTAGCGTACAGTGCATTAATAATGTACAGTAACAACACTCATCTGCAACAGTCGGTGTAATATTTTAAAATAATGCTTTTTCCTCACAAACATTCACAATAAAGTATCATATCAGCTATTATAAAATTGGAATTCAAACGACATAATATTTAATCATTTAAATGCAAATTATTTAAAGCAAACAATTAGATTGTCCGTGTATATATGTAATATTTCTTAAGAAAATATATTAAACTATGTATTATAAATCATGTAATTATTTGGTAGTAAATATGATTTTCTCTTGTACTATCTGACGATAACTGACTGAGCTCTATAAAAGTTAACATAAGAATCAAGAATAAATACTCATTCTTATAAACGCTTTTATATTTTGTTAAAAATCTATCTCTCTCTCTCTCTCTCTCTCTTTCTTCTTCGTTACTCAGTTTTTGCAAATTTCTCCTTGTGAGCTCGACAAGAATAAAAAAATATATCTGATTTTATAAAATGACTCGATTTTTACATCGAAATATTAGCACTTTTGGTCGCCTTTCAGTGGATAATCTGGTGACATATACACTACGGGAAACGTAACTATGGGATCCGATTTTCCCAACGGTTCGTAACCGTTCACTAGATTCTCTCGTAATTCCCAACGACGCCTCTCTCTTTCTGTCTTTTGACGTCTGATAGCTCGGCCGAGCATGCACGCGAACATAATTCCCGTTAACTGGAAAGAAGCAATTGCGATTAATTGGAGATTGTTATCAATTTTATTTATAGAGGTAAATTACTCTTCAAGATCCGCGCTTTATCTTGTGCCTCTTCTTAGCGGAGTATCAGCGAATTTTGACATACAGGAAATGAGAGTAAAATAAAATTGGAAAGAGAGAGCCGAATCTACTAACCTGAATAAGAGCGATCGCCACGGCTCCCGTGCCGATGTACAGCGCGCTGCGGTGAACAATAATAGAAAGGCGGCTGATGCAGCCCTCCTGATATTTTCCATAACAACGGTCCGAAAGCTCATCCACTAGATATGCGCAGCAAGAGTCAGGTACATCTATATGCGTATTATTGAACGGTACGTTGTTCCAATCCAGGTAGTTATTATATCCGCAACAACGTAACTGTAAAACGAGGAAAAATATACCGTTAATTATTTTTCACAATGTTCTCTTCTTTTCCTGCAAACAAAAAAAATATGTATCTTCAAAATGTTACGTTATTTGTAGGACACGTTCGGTGCCACTTAACATCTCAACGGATTTTTCTACATTTTTATTTATGGATCGGGTCAATTAGCTTACCCTAGACTGCATAAAATCGATCGCGAACCTGGCCTCCTCGTTCTTTTCGTACTGATGCATCGTCAGATTGATCTTCTCAGCTAGGAGATCCTTGATACCGTCCTGCAGGGCGTACGCAGCAACGGCGGCGGAAAGTTCCAGTATCAACACAAACGACAGCAGGACTGCGAACTAGAAGCGCATGCATAAGTAACAGCGCCGAAGTGAGGATATTTGTAACAAGATAGAAATACAAAATAACTGGCTTACCACAAGAACCATGCAGGTGCTCTCCCTAACCGCGCCGCAGCATCCCATAAAAGCGATTATGAAGACAAGTATTCCAACCACGATCAAAAGGGTGGCTGGTGAAAAATAGCTCGGGTCCAAGAAATGCGAGAAGTTCTCGTAAACAGCGTAGATCGTCGTGCCAACCGATATTATCATCACTCCCGTCAACTGCAATGAAATGACAACGTATTACGTTAACCATACACTGGTTTTTAACCATTGTTTTCGCTATATTATTGATCCGAACGAAAAATCCTCGTTTGATGCCTGGACCTCAGTTTTACCAAGATTCACATTTTCATAATTTTTATCTCCATCGACGAGCTTCAAGCTGTAGTTCACGCAGCTTCTATAGAAGTTTGTAGTAGTACATACTCAGTGATTTATATAGATGAGAAAGATGATGATAAAAATGCAGGTCCAGGCATTAATGAATAAGACTGTACCAAACGATTGTTAGTCGCAAAATGTCAAGGAATGACATGTACAAATTTCATCCACGAATTATATTCGGCCGATCTAAGGTCGAGTCTTGTTAGCGAAAATTAGATTGAACCGGACAAAACGCAGTATTGTTTAGAAAGCTATTTTAATAATTAAACACTCTTTTAAGGAATGCTAAGTTTGAAGTGTTTGTTATCTATTAGTATCTATGAAGATTTAATTCGCGAAATGTTGCCTTTATAAATGTTTAAAGAGAGACATGTATTTTATACTTTAATTCACATTCGTGTACTTGTAGGAATTTCTTCCGCAATCTCATTTCAACCGTAAAGTTCCGTAATTTTTTAGCAGCTTATATATATATTATTTCTGCTTATAACGGCGATTTAAATATGCAGTATTGCACACGATTTGTGAACGTGTAATACACCTGAACGTAATGCACGTTCATTGTACGTAGTGTAAGGTTTCGATCATTTCCGTAATACGCGGTTTCCCTGACATTAGTTATATAATACATGCGTCCTCGCTCGAATGTAAACTTTTTAGACTGGAAAGAGGGTATGACACTTTTGTGAGGCGTATCGCTATGTACATACACGTTGCCATCGGTCTCTATTTGTTCTACAAAGCGAACCGTGTAATTTCCTACGATAAGCCGCCCTCTCTCTCTCTCTCTTTCTCCTGTGATTTCTACATGTCTGCGTAAAGCCTATCTTCTCGCCCGAGGACCCGAAATAAAATGCGAAAGCGTTTCAAACACATTTCCCGATTATCGAGAGATATATGTTACATTGAGATACGACGGAGACTCTTAACTTTTACTTTGATTTAAATTAACAAACACATTCGGATAAGATATCAACGACTTGTTAAGAAACGATATATCGTGAGCCTGCTTCTTGCTCCTTTCGAGGAATCGAAGATCAGACAAGATCGTATTTGATCTTTGAGCGGTCGATCGCTGCCTCGATCCGCGAAAGGGCCTGAGCAGAAAGATTGTAACAGTTCGCGACTCCGTCGTAAGACGTAAGTCTTCGCCGGAAGTCGACGCACAAAGAATTGTCGTAGACGTGTGTCGCATCCATCGCAACGTACATCTACGAAATTCTTTGTGCGTCGACGTTCCGACGCCGACTTGTGTCTTACGATTCTTCGTCCCGCACCCGCGCGGCCCCCCAGGGTACCCTGTTTTATTGAAGTCGCACGGTGTATCCCGGCATCATTGATTGCGAAGATAATAAATTTATCTCTACTGATAAGCGACCACAAAGTCCTCCCAGGCAGCCGCGCGCGCACACAACGTAAGGCGTATTCGGGACGTTTTCCTGGTACAAGCGTTTCGTCAGCTTTGAGAGCTACGGAAAGGGTTTCTCGCGACGTCGATTCGAGATTCCGAATGTCAAGGTCGGGACAAGGTCTCGCTGGGAAATTACTGCCTCTTCGCGGGCGTGTTTTCCTTCGTCCGCGGCAGGAGCTTAGAAATTTGCATAAGCGCCTGAGAATAATTCATAAGTGTTTGCCACATGCCGAGCGAAACACGCCTCTGTCCGAGCCACAAAAAGCCGTTTGTGCCGATCCGCCCGCGATAATCGTCGGCCGTCGTCCGCATATCTTTGCTTATCGATAAGCAACGCGTAGGGAACACTCGCTCCTATTATTGCTCCTTTGTTTAATTAAGAGGTACGTATCGTGCTAATCGGGTTGTGCAGCTGTGCAGGTTCGTCCAGCCCTAATAATTCAGCAGTGCATAGCCTTGTCTATGTGATATCGACCGCAGTTCGAAAGTGCCGTTCCCTCCCTCTCCCACTCTCTTTCTCTCTCTAACAACGAAACTCGAACTTCATGGCCCACATCGCCTTCCCCGTAAGCCGACAGAACAAAGGACGTAATAAAAGACATTAACAGCGGCGGCGGAGACCCGTCTTTCGTCCCGTTCACGTTATTTTATTGGCATCAGCATTTATTGTTCTTGCATAAAGTTAAACGCGCCTTTTTTTTCCTACATCGCGAAATGATTTCGATATGTTGTCTCAAGTCGACCGGACTAATACCGGAAATTGATAGCGCCGGGATTTGGGTTACCGTAATGTCGAACAATTGTTCAACCGCCATCTTTCTGTCGATTTTTTTTTAAATTTGCCGCACACGTAGAGCGGAGAAACACTTGCCACGTATACGCGAAAAGTGTCTGAGTCATTTCCTTTTCTCCACATTAATCGCCGTTTATGTTATCGGGCCGCCCGCTAACAGCTGTATCGATTACAAGTATCTCGAGAAGAATTGATAACCGGCGTAAAAGCGATAGGTTTCGCTATCGACGAACGATTCGCGTTTTCTACAAATCCTCAGGGCAGATATTTGCCTAGCATTTATTGCATATATCTAATGTATAATCTAATCTATCCGTAGTATAAAAGTTTTGAATACAACGTAGATTATGGATTCCGCGAATAAAAAAAAGTCCCTTTATCGAGAAACTTGGTCTTATCTCGGCGAAGCGCGACCCCGCGCGAAATGACTCGCGGAATCGATGTCGAAGCGGTTGTCGAATCGACATCTCGACACCGTTAAATTCATGTCGAATCGACGTCGAGCTTGGCAGCGCCGATTCGACCAATCGTCTCTCTCGCCCGGGTGGGCTTCTTTGTCCCAAAGCGGAGAGACCGTCGGCCGGCGCTCGCGCCGCGGAGCGTAGCCGCCCTTTTACGGTTCAGGCGTCGTCTATACGGTCGGTATATAACGCGGCAATCGATAATTACTTATAAGTGCCACGACACGGTCTTGGACTGCACCTGGCCTGCGATATGCGCAATTGCGGCCCACGTCGTGCCCGCGTCGCAACGGCATTTTCCGACGAGCGCGGGTAACGCGCGACTCGTCATTGCCGACGACTTCGCCGCGTACTTGAGGAGTCGTAACGCACGGACGTTATCTCGTCCTCCTCCAAGAACACCTGTCGACAGACAGGTATTCTTGGACCCGCGCGACAACGAAGTGCCTCTCGCCCTGCGACGGACTCGTCTCGTCCTCCGAGATTTTCAACGATCCCCCTCCCCCCCCCCCCCCCCGAGTCGCGAAAAAGAAAAACAGACGATTGCTTTTTTGATTTCTTTTCCCTCGGTCAGAACGGAGGGAGCATCGACGGTAAATGATTGTCCCTGGATTGTCGATTCGATTAACGCGTCGAGGGCGCGAGCCGACGCGAGGGGAATCGCGGCGAAAAGTACGCCGTGCCGCGGGGCGGACGACGGAGACGACGTTAAACGCCCGTTTCGCATCGTAGTTACAGACCACGAAGAGGGAGTTGACCGCGCACAGCAGGTACTTGATGCAGCGGAGGCCGACGTCTAGGTGCGTGGCCGCCATTTTGCCCTCGCGTAGGCTCCTCCCGGGCGCAGATGCACAGCGAGCGGTTTCGCGCACCTTCAGCACTTCCAGTTGACACACCGATTGCCGACGCCAACGCCGGAGCGTGTCGCCCCGCGGCGTTATCTGCTGGCCGATAACGAGCCACGAAAACGCACGATCGCGCACGGCGGCGCCTTCGCGCGATACCAATACGAGCGATTTGGGTTTGTTTAGAGCGTGCAGTCTGACGAGGAGAGAGACGCAGAGAGAGAGAGAGAGAGAGAGGGAGGGGGAGGGGGGGGGAGGAAAAAGAGTGGGAGGAAATAAGGAAGCCGTCTCGCGATAGCGCGAAGAAAAAAACATGACAAAGCGATAAATTTAGACTTCTGGTGCGCTAGTGCTCCAGTAAACATTTCAATACTCGATACAGATTGTTGTATTGTTAATGCGACACTTTCGGTAAATCTAGGCGAAGTGTCCGGGATATCGAGATGTATTTACGTTCATACATTTTAAGGAATTCAGAGGAAAGTCCTCTATTATGAGATAGGCGTCTAATGTGAGACAGTAGGTTTTCAACGGATTCAATGACAAATCTTTTTTTTCGCAACGGTTACACGATCTAACAATCAACTAAGCGGATTTCACTGCGAGCGGCAATAAATTCACGGTGGGACCAACAGATGATGCCTATTGATTTTTTAGCAGAAACTCCACTGTCTCATATTAGAGGACTCTCCTCTATATGTTACTTCCGTTTAATAACGGATTACATTTGTTTCGATTCATCGGGAGATTCAGCGGGTCCCAGCGCCCAGAAAACACGCATGTCTAAAAGACCCGTTAAGACGGTATTAATTTGTCGTTTAGACACGCACGTCTAAAAGGGTGTCTTAAAGATATCCCTAGTGGCACAGTGCATTGGCTAGACATTGGCTAAATATTGGTCCAATGTTGGTTATATTAGAAATGCATTGGCCGATATTGTCCAACGTAAAGCCAATGTTGGCCGTGGAATAAATGTGACTGTTGCACGATATTAATTATGTAATATTAGATTTATATTGCAAGTGCATTGGCCAACATTTAACAGTATAATAAAAATATTGGCTAAACAAGAGAAGCCGTCCGTCGCACAATATATTGGATCAATATTGAGAATTCTAGGTTTACATTATTTCCCAATGTTGCGCCAATATATTGTACAACTGGGGATCTTTATGACGTCTTTTAGACACCCAAGGAGAACAAAAAGTCAGAATGATGTCAATATGATTGATATCAAAAAAAATGTCGGATACGCTTATGTTTCCATCCATTATATAAGTGTAATTGTATATTTGGAATACGAGAAATTATTTGTCTGACTCCATCTAGATTTTAGAGTATGAAACAATATACACTAACATATATGTATGTGTATGTCTCATATGAATACTATATTCAATAACACCATTTCATACTCTGTAGAGTCAGACGTAATTAATTTCTCGCACACGTTTAGAAATGTACCATTACTTATACGTAATAGGCGGAAACATAAATGTAGTCCTTAATGTTTCCAAATGAATATTCAATACGATCGAATATGCCGAGCGCAAATTTTTAAGTCGCGAGCCTGGCAAGAAACATTCAACTCGTGTTCGTTGCTACGTTTACACGTAGGCAAAACAACGAGCGACAAGTATGACTCATACGCGAGCGATTAAGTTAATTTCGTGTCTCCGCGCGTCTGTGTGCGCGCGTGCATAATTTTCGGACATAAGCGAGCGCTCCTATTTCTTTCTTCGTTTGAAATTTGCAAATCGCAAAGATTTATGAGAAAAGAGCGGCAATTTCTAAAGACTTATCGCAGATAAATGTGGAAACGGATTTCCTCGTTATTACGTCTCGCTCTTCCACGTTTATGTAAAAAGAGAGATTGCGGATTGGATTAGACGAGACATTTTAATCAGAAATGATAAACGCATTATCGCAGAAACACTTGGCAATGTAAAGATTTTATTAAAAATATACACGATTCATGTAGCGCGATGCGAGACATTGCATATAGCAAAAATAATTTACCACACTTCTACAAAGGCATGTAACGTGTTTGTACGTCTTTGTACTCTCTAAAATCTAATCTACAACGTGGCCTTTGCGTCCAGAAACATTCTACTTCATACAAGCAAATCAAAACGCTTGAAAAATTTGTCGACAATGTACGATTGCATAATGTATAATGTACAACTTATGAGCTTGCACAAATTTTCTAAACGCATTTGTTCGCTACAAAATAGAATGTTTCTAGACGCAAAGAGCACATTGTAGACGAGGCTTAAAAGTCAATCAGTGGATTATCACTGAAAACAACGAATTATTCAGTGCTATACTTATAACTGTTTTCAGTGATAATGCGCTGATTGACTTTTAGAGAGTACAGTATATCAGATCAAGTATCAGATTCACGCAGTCCCGTATCCTAATGGAAATCCTGCTTGACTGCTAGGACTATAATGCTGCTTGAGACGTGTTTGATGTTCGCATTGGCACTCTACATGGTCTGGTAACAATTCCTGATCGATTTGGCCAAGTAGGACGACAGGAAGATTCCTACCAGCTGCAACACGAAACGTCGATAATTATTTCTCGTGTCAATAAAACGTGAGTGTTTCCGGTTTATCGGAAACACTTTTCGAAATGCTACGAGGCGACGTTCGGAAAACCTACGCGTCGCACCGGCGAAGAGATACCTGAATTACGCCAAGGCCTATTCCGACACCCGCTATCTTGGCCGCATGTTTCTCCGCGAATTTCGTGAACGCTTCCACGCAACCTATCTTGTGCAGACTTGGCGAGGGTTCAGGCGTCAGGGTGCAGTTCGACGTGCCGATAGCACCTACCGTATCGTCGCAGCACGACATCGGAATACCCGACAGAGACTCTATCCAATCGGAGGCATTGAACATGCCGCAGCAGTCAAACTGCAAAGAAAAAAACATTTTGCGATTAACGTCACGCAAATGTGGAGATGCAGTCAACTGTGATGAAAAATTTGATGAAAAAACGGTGATGACAAGCCTGTTTAATACTTTATGGCATGCTCACATACATTTATACAGGGTGTCACACGGTGTCCTGTACAAATTGAAGCATTTCCCCTCGGACGTTCCCTAGTAGCACAATATATTGGGAAATAATGTAAATCTAGTATTCCCAATATTGGTCCAATATTGTAAGATAAACGCCTTTCTCTTATTTAGCCAATATGTCTTTAACAATATTGGTTACATTGTTAAATATTGACCAATGCACTTCCAATATAAAATATAATATTATATAATTATTATCGTGCAATATTTACATTCCATTGCCACTATTGGTTTTTTTACGTTGGACAATATCGGCCAATGCATTTCCAATATAACCGACCAATATTTAGCCAACGTTTAGCCAATGCACTGCGCTACTAGGGGTCCTATGTCTTAAATACATCCTCAAGATGTTGCTTGGAAGCTTGTGCTGTATGGGACGCTTCTGATGCAATTGAGGAAAATGTCTTATGAACATAAATTTAATTCAAAACTGTTATCCGTTGCATAACGACGTAAAATTATGCACAGATAAGAGTCCTTTATTATAAGATAGGCTTCTAATATGAGATAGCGAAATTTTTTCTAAATTTATGGGCAAGTTAATAGCAAAATTCATCGTTAGACCGGGCGTGTAATTGTTGCGAAAAAGTTTTGCGGAATTGATTGTTGAAAACCCGCTGTCTAATATTAGGAGCCTCACAGGGAACTTTCCTCTAATTATATAATTACATAATATATTTTATATGTATACATGGATACACATATAGTTTCGTAGATCGTTGAGAATGGTCAAGGAAGCCGGCGACGTAAAAATCGATTTACGCTACCCCCTCGTGGCGTGCACGCCAGCTACCCCCCCCCCCCCCACACACACACACACATACGCACATGCATTATACACGCGAGAAATTAGAGCCCGGCACTGAAATTATCCCTGTCGCCTGTCGTTTGCGATATTCTCGCGAAACGACCGGGTCGCTCCCACGACTGGGGAAGACACGACGTGAAGCGCGAAAAACTAGCAACAAAGCCGCCATCGGGAAAGACGGGGCAGAAAAAAAGGACGAAACCACCCGCGTGGCACGTGGTCCGCCATTTTCGGGGAATGTAACGCGGTCGCGCGTATAAATACGGTAATTGTGTCTAATTGCGCGTTACGTTTCTTTGTAGTTTGTCCCAGACGAACTGGATCTCCGTGCTGTTGTTGTACTCGAGCATCGTGTTGTGCATCTTGTCCTTGGCGACCTCCGCAACCTGCGCCCTCATCACGTACCCCATTGTACCGCCTATGATCTCCAGGAGGAAAATCGCAGCCAGCAGCGTACAGAACTGCAAACGACAAAAGAGATGCTCGTTAGAGGAATTCAAATTACATTTCGGCAGATTATCCTCCGCGTGCGATCGTTATTCCGGAATGACCGGGGTAAACCGGTTCCGGCATTAGATGCGGATGTATTTTTTTTTAAACACATCTGGAGAACACGCGTGTAGAATCTAATCTCGAAGCTTATGTTTGTTGCAGTCTCTCGCCATGCGTTTGCGTCAATTTTTTAAAGCAACGCCGGAAGCTCGCCCGCTCCCTCGCTGCGTGCGAGGGGGAGTAATTTTCCCGGAATAAGGGCCGGCGAAGGTGGAACGGGGAGGACACACACATGTCAATTACATAGCTCGTGTACAAAACATATGATCCATTTACGTTATGGAAACGAGGGGGTAGACGATATCGTGGATGGACAGACCTGGCCGCGCTTTTTCCCGTCCGCGTTGGTCGGCCGCAAAAAAAAACACCCCCAACGCTCCCGTATCGAGATCCCAATCTCGAATTAATTCGAACAGAACAACGTCGAAAATAACGCCGTGAATGTTCTCGAGTCACGATAATGGCCCGTTTTATTGTTCGACGGTACGGTCGCGATTGATTCTCGTCGTGGCACGTTCTCGATCGGATGTGCAATCGCACGGCCGAGCTTCGCCAGGTACGGTCTATCGAACGAGACGTAAATCGTTTACGATCGAAGAATGAACGCCGTATTTTAAAACGAGACGCTCGTCACGATTGTAAAAGGCGAGACACGGCGGAGACGAGGCACCCGCGACAGACTTGTAGCCAAATCCGTCGAGAATAGATTCTACAAAATTTCTGGCAGATTTTGCCAGAGACTGTAGACCTGACACGCACAATGTTGTTGAATGCTGACAAGAATATTGATATCAACAAGATATGGTGAGTAAATTAACGGCAAAAATTTAGCGGCCTTTGACATACTTGCTATACAGTTTGATGCAGATTGACGGCAGAAATAAAGCAGAATCTGCGTTTGACAGCTTCTGGTCGGCTGTCGGATTATATCGGCGGGCTCTATCGATAAAACACAAGCTTAATACAAACCCAGTTGATGCCAATTTGCTTATAGCAATTTCTGCTTGAATTTACTGCCAATCTGTTTGTTGCAAACTACAGACAGTTTGCTTACTAGGTAGCTTGTTATCATTATTATATTATTGATTTAACTGACTAAGCAATCATTATCGGCTAACTAAACGTCAACTAAACGTCGCGGTAATAAACGATGGAATTGCATACGACGTAACATTGGGATATCTTTATCACCATCAGGAAAAAGATTCTCAAGTACATATGCGATTTTTCAATAACAAAACAATAGCAAATGGTGAGAGAAGGGGCTCAGACTCGGAACAAGATTGTGGTGGCCAAACAACTTTTTAATTAATTAAATGCATTATTGGACCAGCTTCAGTATAAAAAGGAAGAATAAAAATACAATTTAAAACAATAGGTTGATAGAGAGTGTGCAATTTAACGCGCGAACGAAAGGCGAATAATTAATTCGTTTTTACGGAGAAAACTTAATCGAATGTGAAATATTTAATAAGGTAGAAATACGTGTATTTATAAGCATTTATCTTACCGTTATAATCATGCAATAGCTCTCGCGAACGGCTCCGCAGCATCCGAAGAAAGCGATGATAAAAATGATGGAGCCCACGGCTACGAGAAGAGAAGGCACGGAGAAGAAGCTGTTGTCAAGGAAATGTTGATACTGATGGTACACTCCGTGGATGACCAGGCCGATCGATAGCAACACTATTCCTGTAATCTGAGCATAATACATCGATACGCGATATATTTCCATGGGTAAGGCGCTCGAAAATATGATCCGCAATCGAATCGGTCGCATTGAACACCGGTAATGGTTACGTAATAATTTCGTGCCGACGAACAATGATTTCGCAATATTGCGCAATCAATTTAAACGGCGCGATCGTCTAATTTACATAGCGCGCAATTAGTGTTTCGGCAGATTTGAAAGAAATGCGCAAGTTTATCTCTTTGCGCGCGTCAACTTTTTCGAATTTCACGCTCGCACGCAGTATATCGTACAAATATGAAGGAAGTTGCCAGCAGCTGCGGTGTCCGAGCGGTTAAGGAGATGGACTTGAAATCCATTGGGTTCTACCCGCACAGGTTCGAATCCTGTCCGCAGCGAATTTTTTTTTCTTCTTTATTTCAAATAAAACGTAATCCTCCTCCACAGATACGCATATACTTGAGCGAAGAGTGCGAAAAAATGACATTTTAATTAATTACACTAACACAATACCAGTGCAATTCAATAATCTTACAATAGTAATTCTGCAATGATCTCGCAATGTTGCGCAAACAATTAATTGACCAATCACGGGAAGAAATATTAATATAAATGATTCTTCGTAAGAAGTTAGCATGCATGCAGCGCAAAAAAAACCGTTAACAATATGTCTATTAATAAACCTGATAACGTAGTATGCATTTCGAGTATGCTGAGTAATGGCTTTCTACGCAGACGATATTTCCAAATGGAAACTTCACTAGTAATAAAATTACTTTAATTGCAGATAATTATTTAACTGAATACGAACAATCCACTTAGTATTTTATAAGCTAGCACATCTGAAGGAATAAGTTATCCGATTCCTGCTCCATTCGGTAGCATAGAAAATTAATAATCGTCATAGTGCAATCGCTTTCCATCCGTATTGATCGCAGGCGGCCTTTCGATTTTGACGTCACACTGCGCGCGAAAAAAATCGAGGAAGTAGATACCGCACGATAGGGATTCCCCTCTCGGATCTATCGCTTACGCTGATCGATTTCTTTTTGTAAGATTTCTCTCGCAATGATTCATCTACTTGCGGTCTTTTCCGACGAGTCTGCGAGTTTAACCGATAAATGAATGAATAAACGGCAGTCGTTTAATTTATTTAATTTTCCGTAGAAAATGGAATTTACGTGTAGACACAAAAACGTTCCGTGTACAAGATATCCGACATTTTCATTGAAAACCTGCGATTGAGGATTTAATTTCGATAGTAGCGAGTCTAGATTAATTAAGGGAAAATCTATATAGTTGCGCTGTTGCAGATATTTATAGTATCGCTTAACTGATGTATTTCTCAAAATTGTATCCATTTTCTTCAAAAACTACTCGAGGTGCGTTCGGGAGTTCACTATCAGCGCTACTTAGCGTCGTTCTATCTTTCCTTGACGCATAATTGTAATTTTACGTGTAATTTTTTTACAGTGTAACTAGATACTTTTATAAAGTAACTTTCCCAACCCTGGGTGTAATATTGATACAATATCAGACCAATATTTTTATTACATTGTTAAATATTGGCCAATGCACTTCCAATATAAATCTAATAGTATATAATTATTATCGTGCAATATTTACATTTACTTCATGGCCAATATTGACTTTACGTTGGGCACTATCGGCCGATGCATTTCTAATATAACCAACATTGGTCCAATGTTTAGTCAACGTTTAGCCAAAGCACTGTGCTACTAGGGTGAGCTCCCGAAATCACGTGTTTTCTTAAACGCATGCCTACGTGCGTATCGCAATGATCTGCAGAAATGATTGTGTCGTAAATACAGTGCTTTTCCTCTCGGATTTCCAAACAGATGTTTGCTGTGACTGATTTCGACCGGCAATATTTATCCACCGAATACCAAGCTGATGTATCTGTTCAAGATAGCTCGACGATCGCGTGACTCGCAAAATGTTAAAGGTTAACACAATGGAATTGCATATACTCGGCAAACATAGGGGCGCACTGTACTCCATATTTGTTAATGACAACCGAATTAAATTCCATACGTCGATCGCACGTTTCCGCTGTATTTCAACAAATATTTGCAGAAAACATTTGCATTGCGCATATCATTTAAAACTGGATTCTGCTGGAGCCACGTGATCCTATTGACGCTATCTCAACAATGTGCGCACTTCAGCGCGATCGTTGAATTGCGACATCCACGAAATACAGATGTCCATATAGATAAAACGAAATGCAGATATCAATGGAAACAAACTAAAAATTGCACGTTTAATTCTATTAAAAAATTCTATTGCGGAGAGTCGCGAATTCTAGCCGAAGGAGATTTGGGCTAAAATTGAAATTCGGCCTCGTCCCTTTCTACATAAACTTGAAAGAGAATCGATAAGGAGCTTACGGCCAACTTCAAATGCAACCGTTTCAGCTAACTTCAATCATTATCTCGTAACGAAAGTTCCGACGTTAATCGGAACGTCAGTTCATTTTTATTAACGCCCGTCTTTAATCTCGATTCAGCTCTTTATCTCCTTCGCGGTTTTAAGAATTAGGGAAAGAGTATATTGAATCGGGATTAAAGTTGTTCCGCGTTGGTAGACGTCGCGACGTTCACGGCTTCGCGAACACGCCCCTCGTTCCGGCTGCTGACAAACACCTGTCGATCGTAATCGTCAGCCTTCAACGATCGCGCCGAGAGCGCCGTCGATACGACTTCGATAGCTCGCAGCGCGATCGAATCGCACGGGTCCATGCCAGCTCATCGTTCCAGAAGGAACGCGATGCCTCGGCCGACAGCTGATCGTCGGCGGCCCGTGCCTACTTACCACGAAGAACAGGTTGAAAGCGAACATCAAGTACTTGATGGTCTTCGGCGCCAGACCCAGCTGCGTCGTCGCCATTGCCGGAGAACTTGTCGTTTATGATCTACGCACACGCGGTTCTACCTCTCTTGTCCTCTCCCTTTCTCTCTCTCTCTCTCTCTCTCTGTCTCGCTCACGGAATTCTTTCACGCGAGCAGGCGGAATCTGCTATCAAGGGCGAGTCGCGAGCGATACTGCGCGACTCGGGAGCGACGAAAAACGCGGCGAAAAAAGGCCCCTTGACGCGAGAACTCGCGACGGGTGGCGCCGATGTACATGTGCCTGGAGCGGGACACACGTATGCGCTACCGCACCATAGTGTAGCGAGACTGCTTGTTCGGTGACGCGGATGTGTGCGTGTCTACGTGCGTGCGCGCGCGCGCGCGCGTGTATATCGGGCGCGATACGGAGACCGGTCGAAATCTCGCCTCAACGCGGCGGTAATTCGCCCCGAAATACGTTGGCGGCGGAGGTGCGTCGGTGTGCGGTGTGTGTAACACACGCGCGCACACCTGTCGCGCCGATCCGCGCGCGATCGAGGTTACGAAACTCGAGAGATTTCTCGGCGGTTTTTCGCCCGAATATCTCGGGGCGTTTCGCAACGGTTTCCGCGCGCACGCGGCCGACGAGCGTTCGTCGATTTCTTCCTTAAGGAGAATCGAGGATGATTAAGTGGAAAAAAAAGAGGTCGCTTTATCTCGGAGATGCTAGCAGACGGGGCGCTCGAACTTCCCGATTTCAAGCGGGATTTACGTTTATGTCGCGCGCGCTTCAAAAATTGAGAAAAATAATGCGAACGAAAGTAACGCGAACGCGGGGGAGAGTCGTTTCAGCTCCCAAAGCCTTGTGTCCACGATCCAAGAACTGTGCCCGAGTTCTAGTTCCGAGACACGTGTAGCCAATCAACCCGCGTCTTTTACGGAGAAGCTTTAAAGCCTTGCGTCCACGATACTAGAAATCGAGATCTCGATCAGAGAAATATGTACACGGGGAGGGAATTTTCTCTTCAAATTTACCCTGAAAATCAAGTGGGACAACACGGCGTTTTGAACAACTTTATGAGTTTTTTTTAAAAGTTTTTTAAAAGTTTACCGTACATTTTACTACCCTGCCCAAGTAGAACATATGAGTCACGAAAACATCAAGACGACATCATTTTTTATGCATCATGGTGACGTCAAAATAGCCCATCGAGAGCACCTATTTGTGACATCATTAAGACATCAAAATGTTGTAAAAATGATCTTGTTTTACAAAGCAAAGTTAATTAAATATTACACATTAAAAATAAATTGAAGCAGTATAAGATAAACATAATATATGACTGATCATGTAATCTGTAACAATATATTATATATATCACGAATATCGTAAAACGAATGTCATAAATCAGTCATTGTAAAGTAAATCTTGATGTCGATCATTTTATGACGTAAAATCCATCATTTTAATGTCACATTGACGTTTTTGTGATTAACTTGTTCTACCTGGGTAGAGTAGCACAGTGCATTGAACAAACCTTGGTTAAACGTTGGCCCAATATTTGGTTGCCTTGGGTCAACGTTTAGTCAATGCACTGGTGCCACTAGGGTAGTAACAAGTATAGATGTGTGCCATAGTGTGTCGCTGACACACATCTACTTTTTTACTCAACAAGACATGACGAAACTCTTGCCGTAGCATAACTAGTACGCTCGCTCTGTCATTTGTTTTGTTTTGCGTCGATCCTGTCTGCGCATTCGCCATTGCTTTGGTGGAGCCAATGAGACAGAAGTTACCCAAGGAGAAGAAAAAGTCAGGATAATGTCAATTTGATGTCATATTAACCAAATTTATAACAAATTTTGGTCAATATGGCATCAAATTGACCAAAATTTGACATCGAATTGACATCGTCCTGACTTTTTGCTCTCCTGTATATAGAAGTCTGTGTTTTACACTCGGTCTCTTTCGGAGTCGTTTGCATTTACCTACATTTTTAAATGCGCTCATAAACGAGTTTACGACGCCGAACCTTGGCGAAGCTTGGGGAGATACATTTTTCGATACACTTTGCCGGGAGTAAAGCATGTCACGCAATGCCAGGCAACAGGCAACAGGATCAGGGAATAGAATTTCCGACGCATTGGATTGGTTGGAAGAAAATTTCCGACGAATCTCCAACGCGTCAAAAATTCTATTCCCTATTCCTATTGCCTGTTGCCTGGCGTTGTGTGACAGGCTTAACAACTGGTTACCGTCTCCACGTTCCATGCGCTCGCACGCGTGCCGCTGCGTGCGCGCGAACGTCTCCCGCGAACGCGGAAATCTGCACGCGGAGACTCGATAAACGCGTCGCACGTTACCGCGCGAGCGGCCTCCGTGACGGCCTGGGTTCGGCCACGTCGTTAGTTATAGACCGTAATTGAGACCATTGAGGCGTAGAATATGGAGCAGATCCTCTAACGTGGCTAATATAATATTCAATAACCGAGTGCTCAAGGGTAACACTTGACACATATCTCACCGCGCGTCCCCGTACGCGAGTTATTACCCGCCGCATGATCGGTTAATGATGCCGCGATCAATCTGTGACACAAATATCCGTTTATATCGTCTGGCCGGCTGCCCTTCCACGCGGGAGAAAAGCGGGGAATCGGGCCAGTTGCGTGCGTATACGAAACTTGTGGCGAATTCGGTTGCTCGCGCTAATGCACTAGTGCGCACCGAGTGCGCACTAAGGCCTGTTTACAGTCGATTTTTATATTCAACTTACACGTTCACAAAGTATTTAGCAAAAAAAAATGATCCGCATGGATGCTGTACAGATCATTTTTTTAATGAAAAATATTTCCAGAGGTATTCAAGGCGATCCCTTAAATATACAAATTGTCTGTAAACAAGTCTTACAACTCGGTGCGCACTAATGCAGGCAATCGAATTCGCCATTAACTTCGCCCCGACGTATATTGTTTCGTGTTCGAGAAGCCAAGATCGAACAATGCGCGGCTGTACAAACGGAGCGTTCCGACCATTGTTTCGACTGGCGCGCAGATAATGAGCTATTTTTGCCCTCCCTTGTTATTCCGCCCGGCGAGATGTTTACGCGTTTTGAGCCACCGATTTCTTTACCTTGCTTTTATCGTCTCGTTGGAAATATGATATTAGAGAGAATCTAAGAATATTACATTGGAAATTGGAGTGTAATTACATGCGCGGTAAACAATGACCTTGTTGACTAAATTCGAACTTGGCGCTGGAATCTAAACCATCCGTGTTGTTGAGACGCGGCTCGAATTATTTTTCGAGGGCTCTCGACGTTCGAGAACTCCTAGAATATTGGTGATTAAAATTAAGAAACGCGAGGATTTTTCAAAGAAGCAACAAATTGAGTAATAAGAATTAAATCGGTCTCGAAATAACGCGAAACAATACCAATGTACCGGGACATTTGAACTGAATGCGCAAGCATTTCTACACAACTGGCGATAATGAAATTTTATTGTATTTTTAATCGCCACATTTCCCCCCCGACCGGTTTTATTCAACGCGACGCAACTTTGCGAACGTTCAATCATTTTCTCGTTCGAGCGTTTCCCTCATTAATGAAACATCCCGTCGACAAAGTATCTATTCTGAACTGAGTATCGGGGACCTGGTGCATACATCTATTGCTCACGCTTCGCACGAGCACGCGTTATTAAATTCGCACGAGTCACCGTTCGCAGTGGGCGCGGCTTCGTCTCGTACGCCAGCCGTGATGCTTCGTAATAATAAGAAACGACGTTCGATGTACAGGAAAGTCCCCTATCATGAGACAGGATCCTAATATGGGATAGCGGGGCTTCTGTTAAGTTAGTAGGCATCATCGGTCGATTCCACCATGAATTTGTTGCCCTTAGAGCGAAATCTGTTTACTCCGACAAGTTGTGAAGGCTTCCAAAAAGAGAATATGTAGAAAAGAGAAGTACCAATGTGAGCCACAAAATGAACGGAACTCGGTTCTCACAATACAGAAGCAGAATTTCTCTTTAACGTAAATGTTTCGACCCTTCTTCGGGTCTTCCTCGGCAAGACTACAATGAAATCAACGAAAGTACAAGATGAGATTACAGTAGAACTTATGTATAGATAACAAAAATCAGTTATCCTCGTTTAGAACGAAATCTGTTTGGCGGAAAGTTCATTGTTAGATGTAATCGTTGCGAAAGGAGATGTGCGACTGAATTTGGATGTTGAAAACCTGCTATCTCATATTAGAAACCTATCTCATAATGTCGGACTTTCCTCTACACATTATATAAACCAATCGCCTGATCTCTTTCTCCATCTGCCCCACAGTGAGCGTTTAAGAGAAAAAGAACCTGGAAATTGCGTAATATCGGGTGACGATCTTGCGAAAGAGATCGCAACGTAAGAGAGCCGAGGGCCCGGAGTTTACGAGCGGACGTTACATTCGGTAAACAATAGTTCGCCAACTGGAGAGAGCGTACAATTTTGATCTCTCTCGCGCGCACCAATGACGCGCGGAGCCTTCGCGGCCCTGCAGACAAAAGGGAGAAGCTCCGGCGATTGAATCGCTCCTCCAATTGTCCCCCACGTCCCGTAAAGGGTTGTCTCGTCCATGGCGTGTCGCGGAGTGCTTGCGACGAGGCCGTGTCCCTGAGGCCGGCCCCGAGCACGCATGCTCCGGCCCCGCGCGCATTTTATATTCATGTATATTTAGCCACCGCCGAGGGTTGTGCACGGCCTGACGTGGCCGACATCGGCGGAGAAACTCTCCCCGTGTAATAACGGCGTAACGCGCCGCGTACGCCCGTTGCGCGCGGTCGCACGCGCTCACGCGCGTTGCGCGCGCGAGACTCTCGCTCACGGCGGACGGGAGGCGCGAAAGCGAAATTTTCGCAGGTGGCGACTTGATTTCACGTACGATTTACTAGCCGCCACGCTTATTATCGCGTCTCTCGCCGCGACTCCAACCGCGCCGGTCATCGCCGCTTTCATTCCGCGGCTCGTCCACTCGCCTATTAAGATCGTCCCGTTTAAGCGCGAGCGACCGGCCGCTGATTTCATTACCGAGCTAAAAAAAAGAGCATGTAAAATTGCATACATAATAAGCGCGGCGATCACGCTATTGATAACGGAAATATATAAATTTACGAAAAATTTTCTTTTACTCTTCGTTGTGTAAATACTTGTTTATACTCGATGAAAAATTACGAAAAATCGTACAGTTACAAGCAGTTTACTTATATGTAGTTTTTCACAAAACGACCTACACTGGCCAATGTTTGTTGAAAAACTACATATCATTGGTTTTGTACTACTGGCGATATTAAATCTACTTGTGAGTTTACTTATTGTATGGGGTAATCATTTTACCTACAAGGTAATAAATTTACTGACGTATGTGAATATACACCTACAATGGATGGTCCCGATATTATCCAGTCTCTAAAAGTCACTCAGTGATAATTCGCCGATTGATTTTTAGGGAGCACTATAATAGTTGTAAATTTGCACGTAATTTTTCTACACTGTATCCCTTTCACTCCTACTCGACCGGTCCGGCGTGGAACCGTTCGGATAACGAAATTAGCGGGGGGAAGATAATCGTTGCGACTCTGCATTGTATTACGGCTCTGCAATGCTCCTTTTTTTTTTTGTAAGCGTAATCAAGTCGTCGCTACGCTACAAGCAGTTATTGTTGCGTACAACGTGGCTGCGTGCCGCAATTAAATGCACCGTGTATTTTTACACACGCGCGTAAAGTGTCCCTGATGTGGCAAACAAAGTCTCTCAAGCATTTAATATAAACATTACGTTATATATACATATATACGCGCGCGCATTGTTATATTTAGAAAAATCGATAAGTACATTTAGGATAAATGTCAAGACCAATTCTCGTCTCGGAGGGGTGGCCGATATAGAAGCGTTTCAATGAAAAATATAATTATCGAGTGAGGAGCGCGAGGCTCGCCGTGTCTTTCGTATGCGCACGTGCGCCGGGCGTGTTTCTTTATTTCCTTTCCCCTTCGTACCGCACGGAGGACACGGTCTCGTCTTATGTGTCATTAATATGCTACCGAGAGAGGCCCGCGGCGGCGGGACTGCGTGGACGGAATTGCGACGTAATTTCGCCGAGATGACGGTCTTTACCGTCGGAACGCGAGTCCTTAGCCGCGCGGAGTCGTAGACCCGAAGAAACCCTCGCGTGTGTGACGTGTGTATTAATAGACGCCGGAGAGAACGGTATTGAGGCATATCAACATCGTAATTCACGGCGTGGGCGTCTCGTGGACTCTCCGTTCGTTGCCACCACCTCGCTTTTCGTGTCTAACGCCGCTCGTTGCTCTCCGCATGCCCGGGCGACTTCGACCAAACAATGTCGAACGAAAAGCGGGTTCTAACTGCGTCGCGAAAGCCAGTCGCGTCGAAGACGGAAAGGCGCGATCCTTCTTTTTTCTTTTTTAATGGAGCAAAGTCCCCTATTATGAGATAGGCTTCTAACACGAGGCAGCGGGTTTCCAGCATCGAAATTCAATCGCGAATCTCTTTTCGCGACGATTTCGCGGTCTAACGATGAATTTTCCACTAAACAGATTTCACTCCACGAACTAACAGATGATGTCCATTAATTTAGCAGCAACCCCGCTAACTTATATTAGGAAACTTATCTCATAATAGGGGACTTTCCTACCTGATAGGAAAATGTCTTAATATCGTGTAATAATTGCATCATCCACAAGGAGAAAAGTTCACAATGGTTGCGTTAAGGTAATTCGCCAAAGCGCAGCGGTTTTCTATAGGAACAAAATTTCGAAATGGTATTTTTGCCCAAAAATTGAACAGTTCAATTTGGGGGCTAAACCGCGCACAATTATCTCGACATTTAGCATTTCAAGCTTCATCCGGATCTCGTCACACAATTCTCTAAATATTTTCCTAACGGGGCTCTGCATACAGTAATGTGGATATTGTAATACGATAGAAATTACGGCGTTGTACGTGACGAGTACGACGAGGTGACAACCGGGAAGTTGCTGGGAGCTAAACAGCTGTAATTTTGTAATGAATGGATGGAATGGAATTAATTAAACGTTACTCTCCGTGGGAGGACTCTGTCATTTTTTTATCAGCGTGTGGTGCAAAGAAGCGTATACGTTGCATTTGTGAGCGCGTAAAAATAAACGCGGAGCGGTCGGAAATTTGACACGTGTTTCAGGGATCTTGACAAGAGCAGTCGGTTCCGCGGCCGAGACTTAGCTGGGATTCTTCGAAGACGCCGTTCATTAACGCTACGGTTATTAATATTGAAAGATGTATTACGCAGGTTTTTTTAAAAGCGCGTCGATTGTTAAGCTCGTCACTTTGGAAGCATAAGATCGCTGAACCATGAAACCGGGCAACTATTTATCATATATGATCCCCATTCTGCAATATTTATTTTTGCAAGCTGCACGTGCAGCCCCTAATCTGCAATGTGCTCTTTGCGCCTAGAAACATTCCCAAACAGCACGCGCGTCTAAAGTCTAATCTACAACGCGCTCTTTGCGTCTAGAAACATTCTATTTTGTAGCTACTTTTAAAAAAATTGTGCAAGTTGATAAATTGTACGCTATACAATTATACGTTGTCGACGAAGTTTTTCAACGTTTTGATTTGCTGATATAAAACAGAATGTTTCTAGACGCAAAGAGCGCATTGTAGATTAGGCTTAAGAGACATCTTTAAGACATCTTTAAGTCGTCTTGTCGAGTTGTACAGCCTTTGTTTCCAGATGCAAAGAGCGTGTTGCAGATTAGGCTTCAGCGTTCTAATAAAAGTCTAAAAGACGACTCACAGACGTCTTAAAGATGTCTTTTAGACACGCGTGCTGTATGGGATTCTATTTTGTATAAACAAATCAACACGATTAAAAAAATCTGTCGACGCTGTACGATTGTGCAGTAACAATTTGTCGACTTGCACAAATTTGTTACGCATTTATTGGCTGCAAAATAGAATGTTTCCAGACGCAAAGAGCGCGTTGCAGATTAGGCTTCAGCGTTCTAACAAAAATGACAGATCTCTTCTGAACAATTGTACTTGGTTCACTGGATTCATTACAAAGTGACAGCCGTTTGTTCCCAGGAATTTCCCGATCGTCACAACCCGTTCGTCCCGACCCAACCATGATAATCATTTTACAAATTGCACGAATTCGATCGGTTTGAGGTCGCGGACACTTGTGCCCCTTAATTTTCGACACTGTATGACCAACTTCAGGCTCCTTCGTTAGCAGCCGATGTAACCCAGTATCGCTGCGTTCCGAAATACTGGCGGTACTGAAAGTATTGAAAATCTATAGTTCGCGTTGCGTATGCTATAGATTTTCGGTACTGTCGGTACATTTCGGGACACACCCAACGTCGTCGTCGGACCACCGTCCGATCAGCGAGAAGTTGGGGCCGGAAGTCGATCGTGTCACAGAGATCTGAAAGTATCGGCAGCATTGAAAGTATACTGAACATTATACCGGTACCGACAATCTACAGCTTCACGTTGCACAGGCTGTACATTTTCAGTGCTGTCGGTACGTTTCGGGACACACCCAGTATTGTCGTCGGATCGCCGTGTCCGATCGGCGCGGAGGTCGGACGTTGGTTGCACGGGCCGGCAATGAGAAGGGATGCGCGTCGTTACAATTACGGGAAGGACGCGGAAAGGTTTCAGGTGCAACCGCGCGCAAAGTCTCGTCGTTCGGGACGTTGGTCCTGGGCCTAAATTCCGTACACGATTACCGACGACCATCGATACGTTAACGACGTTTGCGCAGCTTTTCTATCATGTAGAAAAAGCTGCGCAAACGTCGTTAACGTATCGATGGTCGTCGGTAATCGTGTACGGAATTTAGGCCCTGGCGTCGGTGTCGGGGATCGGGGTCCGTTCGGCCAAACTTGCGCAGGTGCATATAAGAAGATCGATTGGTCTATTTTCCTTATGTGCGTCTATGGCCCAATTGGCATCCCTCGCGCACACGCTGACGCGCTACGCAAGTTCGCCTGGACGGACCCTTCAAGGACGGAGAGGGATGCATACGCGCGATGCGGACACGGCGGTTCGGCTCGGCACGCCATGACACCACCCGGAGTGCAACGCCGCCGCCGTGTCCTCGCGTCGCGTCGCGTTGCGTTGCGTCGCGTTGCGTCGGAGGTGCACCGGCGATACGCACAGGCTCGTAGCACGCGGGCGACGCGGCACGCTCGCGCTACGAGAGATGAATAGTAATCGCGAAACGGAGAACGAGCCCGCCTGTTTTTTTTGTACGAGCGGCAGCGAGGCGAGAGTAAATATACGCCCGAAGGACCCTTCCTAGTGAGAAATGATTCGTCGAAATGATGTCGAATCGATGTCAATTCGACGGTGTCGATGTCGATTCGACGTCGATCGACGAATCATTTCTCACTGAGTTGATCACAACAATGAACGCCACTGTGGCGCTTATTACAGCATCGTTTGCAACAATAGAAGCTGGGAGCGTATAATTCACTCTTTATCCGATAAAAATTCTAGAGCTCCGAACTTAACAACGCCCGCGTGTCGCTGCGCTCCGCCACGGTTGCTTTTTAATAAAGTAGACGCGGAAAGGTGTTACGTCGGCTTGGCGTTTATCGGACAACAGTAGCTTTCTTATAATAAAATAAAACGTCGAAGCCACGAAGATTCTAGTTCATTCGCCTCCTCTCGCTTTCCTGGCATTTCAGCTCATCCCGGGGAAAAAAAAGTGAGATCGCCCCGCGTCGCCCCCCGGCGTAGGCACGGCCCTGGGCGGGCGGCTGCGCGCGCATCGAGAGTGTATACCGCGCAATAACAAAAATACATTGTCCGGTGCATTCGACGGCGAACAGTCGACGCGCGAGCATCCCGTGGAGTTCGGGTCGTTGACGTACGGACGAAGAGGCAAAAGAGAGAGAGAGAGAGAGAGAGGAGGGAAAGAGAGAGAGAAAGAGAGAGAGAAGGGAGGCGAATCAGAAACGAGACGGGAGAACGAAAGAGAGCACAAGGGGCGTCCAGCGTTTTTCCAGTCGCTCGTGCAGCAGCGGCGGCGATAAAGCGTATATTCCTATTATCTCCCGTGCGTGTGAACGTCGCGCGTCGCACGACTCAGTGTTTCACGTAGCTCATCGGTACACATAGTGAGAGTGACGAAAATGGTGTCCGGCGGCATGGCTTGCGTCAAGTACCTGCTGTTCCTCTTCAACCTGATCTTCGCGGTGAGTAACGGAGCGGCGGAGTTAACGGTGCACGCCGCGTCCAGCCCGGGACGTGGCGAGGGGGCGGCGGCGGCGGCGGCGGGATACGCGGAGTCGACGCTCCGTCCCGCTATTCGGGGGCAACGTTATTCTCGGCGTCGCGTTGCCTGGCGTCGCGTTGCCTGGCGTCGCGTCGCCTGGCGTCGCGCCGGGCGGGCGGGCGCGGGCTCTGTCGTATATCGGTCAGGCCTCCGAAGCAGCATCTGGGCTTCGCCAATCTCGAACACGTCTCGCCGTCGTGGTCCAACGTCGGGAGATTCGGCGTCGCGCCAACCGGCCACCTCCCCCCCCCCCCTCCCCGTACGCGCGCCATTGGCGAACGGTGAATCATCCGGTGGCGCGCTTCGGAACGAGTTACGGGACGTAATCTGACTTCTGTTACGAATCACACTCTTCTCGGAATCGTCGTCCCCTCACCCTCCCCTCGCCTCCTCGTTTTAGACCGCGTTCTTCCGGTATTCGTCGCCGGCACTGAAAATCTATAATGTACGTGACGTAAACTGTGACTTGTCCGTACCGGCGGCGAATGTCGGAATGCAACTCACAATCGACGTCCGGACGTCTCGGATCGACTGGTGGTCTCCACTCGAATTCGACGTTATCTCGCACGAGCGGCGTTTTATCTCGTTTGCGGACTCGCACGACGGGTCATCGGACTACTATCCGCGCGCCGGACGCTCGTTGATTTATCTTTCGGCTGATTTTACATTCGTCGTACGACGAAACTTTCGAGCGCGTCGATTGGCTGGCTGGAGTAGAAAATTTCTAGATACTCGAGAATTTTGTTACGCCGCAGCCAATCAACATGCTTAACACATTTGTCGTACGACAAACGCAATACCAACCTTAGCCTAAGGGTACTATTACATTTGTCGTACGACAAATTTTTCAAGCGTGTCGATTGGCCGCTGAATAGAAAGTTTCTAGATACTCGAGAATTTTACTATCCTTCAGCCAATCAATACGCTTAAAAACTTTGTCGTACGACAAATGTAATACCAGCCTAATACTTCATTTGTCGTGCGACAAATTTTTCAGGCGTGTTGATTGGCTGCTGAGTAGAAGATTTCTAGATACTCGAGAATTTTGTTATGCTGCAGCCAATCAAGACAATTCGAAAATTTGCCGTACGACAAATGTAATGCCAACCTTAGCCTAATATTATATTGGTCGTACGACAAATTTTTCAAGCGTGTTGATTGGCTGCTGAATAGAAAATTTCTAGATACTCGAGAATTTTTTTATGCTGCAGCCAGTCAACACGCTTGAAAAAATTTGTCGTACGACAAATGTAACACCAGCCTTAGGGTACTATTACAATTGTCGTACGACAAATTTTTTAAGCGCGTCGACTGATTACAAGCTTGAAAGTTTCGAGATACTCGACAACTTTTCTACCCTGCTATCTATCTAGAAATTTATTAGCTTGCAGTCAGTCAACGCGCTTACAAAACATTATCGTACGACGAATGCCATAGTGTCCTGAGGCCGGTGTTACATTTGTCGTACGATCAATTTTTCAAGCGCGTTAATTAGCTGCTGAATAGAAAATTTCTAGATACTCCAGAACGTTACTATCCTGCAGCCAATCGACATACTTAAAAAATCTGTCGTACGACAATCTGTCTGCAAACTAGAAAATTTCTAGGTACTCGACAACTTTCCCCATCCTGCAGTCAACGCTCTTGAAAAATCTGTCGTACGACAAATGTGATACCGGCCTAGGGCTAATATTACATTTGTCGTACGACAAATTGTTCGAGCGAGTCGATTGGCTGCAGACGCGATAATTTCCAGAGGCTCGAGAACTTTTCTATTCCGCAGCCAATCGACACGCTTGGAAAAACTTGCCGTACGACAAATGCAATATTGGGCTCGTCGTTCTCGCCCGCGGCCAAGTTTCTTAAGGTCTGTCCACAAAGATGCACAGGTGCATAAGCGTATGCGCATCAGAGAAATTGATTGGTCGATCTATTTCCTTATGCGTGCATTTCCTCGCGACCCAATCGGATTCCTCGCGCGTACGTTTATACGCTATGCAAGTACGTCTGGACAGACCCTTACGGTTACATCGACACGGTGCAATCTTGGGCGGTATCGGATCGATATTACGCACGGCTCGCGCGCGACGACGAGGAGACTCCTCGGGATCCTTCCTGTCCGCTCTCCGCTGTTGGTTTTCAGAAAAAATTCCCCCCCTCCCCCCCCCCTTCCTCGCCCCGCGTATCGATGCGTATCGTCTAATTCCGACAATCTATTATCTAATGACAATAATAATCTAATCGATATTGTGTGGCGTGACCGAAAGCGTACCGCGTTTCTGAATAAATGATGTAAGTACGAGGGTATCATTTCGAGGGAAACTTTGTGGTGCTTATGCTCCAGAACCTCGGTGCAAGCGTTATGGATGAAGCGATCGATACCCCGCCCCCCTTCCCCAGCTCGCCTTTCACGTTTAACGTAATCTAGAGTTCAACGTGGTGGTGTGCGCGCGTCCGCGCGCGACACCATTACCTGCGAGACATGTAATGTGTGTGTGAAATCGCGTAAAAAAAAATTTATATTCAAGGCCGAAATTCCAGATGCGACGCAATGGAATCTGATATCCTTTCTAACTGAACTAAGACAAGTTACTTCGGTCCAGCAACATTTCTCTCTGACGAGCTTCCTTTGTGTCCAGCGACGATTCTACTTAACAAACCTCCCTTTCTTTCGCAATATCTTCATTTATCAAAGTAGCCTCCTTTATCTAACGTTTCTGTCTACGTTTCTGTCCCGAGCACCTTCTTTCATCCAACATTTCTCCGGCAGACTACCCTCCGCGCGAATACAAAGAAGGGATGCGACTGGCAAGTCGGCAAGATTAAATAAAAGTTGGCGCTGATGCACGTAGTGAAAAATCTATTCGGATTAGCGGCCTTAGATTTGGACTGGGCCTTTCGTGCGATAGAATAACAACAAAGGAAAGTCGCCGGTCACGTTGACGGAAGGAGCAAGAGTTTATTTAAAGGCGGCAGAGGCGGCACACGCCGGAAGCACCGAAAGCCGCGGGGTTCGTCCCGGGGGAGAGGCGCGCACAAAGGCACCGTCGCCTGGACGGCCGGCAGGATCTGGGACACAAAAACAACCCCGTGGAGGATGGCGCGGCGCGTCCCTTATTGTAACGTTTAATGATCCGTCCAGCGTGAAATGCCAGCGCAAGCGACCGCGTTTGCACGGGGCGAGAGAGAGAGAGAGAGAGAGAGCTATACCGGAGGAAGCGCCGCGCCGCGCGCCGGCTCGACGGGGTGTCTTTGTTCCTGGCGATAATCGAAGTCCGTTTCTTCCTCTCCGTCGTGCGGGGAGACGCTGCAGTTTCTCGCCCTTCCCGATCCTCGCGAAGTCCGAACTTCCGCACGAAATCCGCCCGTTGCCGTGAGCGACGAGGGAATCAATTTACGAGCGCGTCTCTTTAAAGACACCGTCGCGAGGACGACGGGCCTGGACCTTAAATTCTATTAGGGGAGGGCAGCGCCCGTGGTGCGTCGTCGCCGCGCGCGCGTCCCTATTCCACAATTCGCTTTCTAGGACAGCCCAGATCGTATGGATCGTCGCGCCGCATTGGGCGCGTCCTCGTTGCTGAAACTTTTCAATAGATTCATACGTAAAAGTTGGCCGCGGTAGAGTCACCTGTTAGCGTACGTCGTACGCGCGGCTCGCTCGAACAGGCCGTCGCGGCCAGGCGTCGCTCGAGGGCGAGCGAATCGACCGGTCTGGCCTGGTCGGAGCTCGGTTTCGCTGCGAAGGCCTACCACGGGCCAGGCCAGGCCAGGCCAGGCGTGTAAGCGCAGCCAGGGAACGTAGGTGAGCCGTAGGTGAAAGACACGTAGGCAAAGGGGAAGAGGTCTATAATCTCCGTCGGGCGGCGACGAGCGACGACGTAGCCTTCCTACGACGCGACGTCGCGGCCCCTCGGCCCCTCTCGCTCGCGCCTTTTTCTCGTCTTTCTCCCGTGGCCGTGCGCCGCGCGGAACAACCGTCGGCAGCCGTCCACGCGCTGGAGAGATGTCTTTATTTAGACAGATCCAGCTATGGGCGCTGCCGACGAATTCCTCCTCTCGATAGCGTCGGCGGAACTCGATCTTTCCCGCGACGCCCGCGAGCGTTCGAGATTTTCGAAAAATTGCGTCAAAATTCTCGGAATAATTGAATAAGGGTACTGTTACATTTGTCGTACGACAAACTTTTCAAGCGTGTTGATTGGCTACAAGCTAGAAAATTTCTAGATACTCGAGAACTTTCCTATTCTGCGGCCAGTCAACACGCTTGAAAAATTTGTCGTACGACAAATGTAATACCAGCCTGAGAAAGATTGTCGTAACTGTTTATGATTCCGTCGTAAGACGTAAGTCACTGTCGGAAGTCGACGCACAAAGAATCGTCGTATGTCGCCTCGCGATGCAGTGGATGCGACATACGTCTACGACAATTCTTTGTTGGCTTTCGGCACCGATTTAAGTCTTACAACGAAATCGTAAGCGGTTACGACAATCTCTCTGCTCAGGCCCTTAGGCCTGTTATACGACACGTCGCGCGTCGTATGTCGCTGTCGGATGTCGGGACGTAGATGGTTTTAAAAAAAGAAATTTTCTCATTGGACAATCGGCTACGTCCCGACATCCGACAGCGACACACGACGTATTGTAAAACAGGCCTATGGTTAACATTACATTTGTCGTACGACAAATTTTTCAAGCGTGTTGATTGGCTGTTGAGTAGAAAATTTTTAGATACTCAAGAGTTTTATTATCTTGCAGTCAATCAACATATTTAAAAAATTTGTCGTACAATAGATGTAATATTAATCTGATAAAGCTCGATTTCCGTATTCTTTTCCAAGCGCGGAGGTGTTGTCTTATCTAGAGCGTAGATAAAGAGTCGTCGAACGTGGAGAAGCTCGACTTAGAAACCGGCTTCTCCTACGCCGGGAAACTTTTGCATATTATTGAGACACGCGTGATCGAGTTGCTCCTTTTCCCTCGACAGTCCTCGGACGACGGAGCGGGCTATGCTTAAACGTTGCCTTTCTAATTTTCATACAACAATGAATTTCTTGTACAAGAGTTCTTCTCGGTAAAGCCGTCGGCTTTCGTAATTCGCCCCGTTCTCGCGCGCTTATCTTCGCGTTGAAAGTTATACTCGGCGTAATTATAAACAGTTTTACGCGCTTCCCGTTGGCAAACAATGCGGTTCTTACGCGAGCATGCTTTCCACTTAAAGCTATTAAGCACGGTAGAAAAGTATTGAATGTCTGTCCTAATAGCCCGTGCCGTCGATCGTAATTCGTCTCTGAACAGGAAGCAGATGAACGGTTTTCCGAAGCAATATCGGGTGTAACGCGAAATTTACGCGCCTAAAGTTTTCGTTAATTATGCATTTATAAATAATACGGGCAGTATATGTTTCGCAAACGTACCGTGGCGCTCCAATGTAACGGCTCCAATTGAAGATTTCACTTCGGAAGCGCGTTTTGTGAAAGTAAGCGCCAATATAATACGCCGGGGAAGCATACAATACAATTTAACGTAATCCACGTATAAGAAACCGCAATTAAAAATGAAGCGCGCTTTTCGTAACTCTTAGAAAAATACCTTGCTGCATGCCAGTTCTTCCTTTCTCCGATTTAATTGATATAAGATGTAAGTTTTTGCGCTGAAAACGATACTATAATTTTTCGTATCTCTTACCACTGTAAATGAACGCGAAATCATAAAAAATATAGAACTGCGTTGCGTAACATTGGTACAATAGACAGATGAATATTTATCTTGTATAGCGTTTATGTAACGGTAATGAATACATCGCTAATTGTGAATATACTAACGGTGAAACTATTTTATGCGTCATTTCAGATCACCGGCATCGTATTTATCTCGGTGGGCGGGGTGATTCTGGTTGTTTACAGCGGGTACAGCAATTTCGTGGATAGTTGGTTCTTTGCAGCCCCGCTCTTAATGATAGTAGTCGGCATCATAGTCTTCCTTGTATCATTCTTTGGATGCTGCGGCGCTGTAAAGGAGAATCATTGCATGATAATAACGGTATGAATCTAAAGACGCTATTGTTAAAATATTACTTACTAATTGAAATTACCTCTCTTTTTTCCGTAACAAGACGTTTTGTCTTGTTGCTTCTATAAATATCTTTTTTTTTATTCAGTACACGACTTTAGTAAAATTAATTTAAAGAGTTTCTTACTTTGTACAAGAATATATTCATGGGACACAATATCCTGTGTAATGTACCTGTGCATTAATTTTGATTTCTCGTAGTTCTCGGTCTTGCTGCTGCTGATATTTGCTCTGGAATTGGGCGCTGGAATCACAGGTTACATGATGAGAGGCGAAGTTGCTAATATGTTGGAAAACCGTTTGAACGGTACTTTGCGACAGTACGATCTTAATCCGGATATTCGTCGTTCATGGGATATCATGCAGCACGATGTGAGTTCACTGAATGATTTGTACATGAACGTTGCCATCATACATTTAGATTTTCATTCATCGCTGTAAAGGCCTGTGTCCACGATGCTATAACTTGGTGCAAGTTCTAGTTTCGAGAAATGTGTAGCCAATCAACTTGCAGCTTTTATGGAATAGCTGGACCTTGTTCAAGTTCAAGCATCGTGGACACAGGCCTTAAGGAAGAATATTATTGACGTCACATTGCGTAGAGAGAAAAATCCTTACTAGCTGAATCATTTTATTGCAGGCCGTTAATGGAATCCGTATCTAACTGAAAATTAACACATGATTTTAGTTACAATGCTGCGGTATGAATAGCCCTGCAGACTGGCCGCATATTGGTTTCCGTGATAATACTGTTCCCGATTCTTGCTGCAAAGAAATTCCTACTCAGAGCCGATGCGATTTGAATTCGATTCACGTGTACGGTGACGGCTGCATGTTGAAACTGAAAACTGCTATAGAAAATAACGCTATGATCCTGGGGGGAGTGGGCATAGGGGTAGCCCTCATACAAGTAAGTTCTAATTCTAACTATATTAAAGGTACTTGTGATTTCGATGTGAGCAACTGTTGTATACATTGACAAAAGATTATAATGTTATTACTATTAATAATATTACATACATAATAGTATTCCGATATGCACGCTGGTAGTAAAAACGGATAAAGCTTAGCTATCCGGGAAAACGAAATTGTAAAATAATAATTTTTCATCTTTCCAGTTGATTGGAGTAGTCTTTGCGTGCTGTCTGGCTCGCTCAATTCGCCGCGAGTATGAGACTGTGTAAGCTGATAGACACAAATTTTCATTGCAACAAGCCTAAAATGCACTTGTATAAAACCTGATCTATTACACAAGCTCTGTCACTATTTTTTCCCTTATTTCGTTACCATTTAACCATGCACAATTATATATAAAAAAATTTCTTTCTTTTACCGCTTCTATTCTTAACACATTGCAAAGGAGCCGTTGGTTATTTTTCGTCAAAGAGTGCGTGATAGGTAAAAAAAAATAAAACAATTTCAAGATCTCCAAAGAATCTCACTGCTATTTTGGTATCTGGGCCTTATCTATCAGGCATAAAACATCACACACGTATGTTTTGTATATTTTTACAATAGGCTCTCGAAAAACTTTGTATATTGATGAGAACAGAATGTCTGTTACTCTCGGAGATCATACATTTTTTTATAACTACATCTAATTTGTTCAGTGTCATTGCGATACTGTTATAGTTGAGCCACGATAACCATACATCGATAATAAAGTCGTATAAAATATATAAATCACTATAAAATGTGCTAAAAGCTTCTTTTTGTTTAATGTCTGCTTCACGTGAATAATTGTTTAGCTTATTAGCAAAAGTGTATTTTTGTCGTTTCTCTATATTTTTGCTTCATAATATTTCGCATGATGTAGTGTATATTGATATTGTTGTCGAGGCTCTGCTATAATATTCAGCAGTATCAAGTTTTAAGAGCATTCATATCTCTTAAGACTTCATTTTGCTTTCGAATCGATACATACTCTTATGTGAGATTGTATTCAAGTTTATTTGAAAAAAATATATTAAAGCACATAGCAGCACTTACACAAACACATAATCATAAGTACTAAAAAGTATCGTATGAATTTATATAATTACATTTATGTATAATCACTATTACGTGTTCAGTTTAGTTTAATATTTCAAGAGCCACAAAGCATTCCGAAAAATGTGCGTGTGTACGTCTTTTTTTAACAAATAAGACTCGTGATGTGAGAAAAGCCAGCAATTTAGATAGCTCAAGATGCAAAATGAAGTATTAAGACAATGAATCTTCTCAGCATTAACCCAATGGTGTATGATAAAGGGCATTTCCTTTATTGCATGTTATATAATCCATTCAAAGAGAAAATAATACTTTAACCAGTTAATAGGATGTACTATATTTGTGAACTGCAAAGAAACTGTGATTGAAAGTAACATGTGTCAATGCGCAATTTGTTTTTCCTTTTGGTACAATTACTTTTTATTTGTGACTAAATGATACTCTTCAGATTAGTGAGAAATTTCCATGTTTAACAAATTGAAATACGTAAAAAGAAGTGTTAGCCTCAATTTGCAATTGCATGTTAACTATACATATATGTTGCCGCGCGCGTGCTATGCGTTCAATACAAACAAGAAACACTATATACCTAACATTAAGATATTTTATTGTTTACCACATGTAAAGTTTACATAGTGTTACAATCATGAAAAATGTCTTACAAGATGTATAAGTGTATAGAAATAGACGAAACGTAATAGTTGTTCATGTTATATGAAAATTATAGTAAAGCGTATAATTCATAATAACAAAATTATTTCAACAAGATGACTCAGTTAAACAGCCAGTTGTTGGCAATAAAATACTTGTTATTGAAGTCTACATTTTAATAGTATTCACACCGAAACTGTGAAGTGTTATCTTTTGTTTTTCGTTGTTTGTACTATATATATATATATATATATATACATATACGAGTATATATATACAAAATTATATTGCTTAATATGCCGTAAAACTAGATGTTTTTTTTCAAATATTTTATGTTCATACCTAGTGATTTAATATTTTTACTTACAGCGAAACCACAGCACACTGATCTGCCATCAATTAGGAGGCATTTTTCATAATATTGTTCATCATACATTGATTAATAAATACTTGTAGATTCATTACGACCGTAATCATTCTTATTGTGCTTATAAATATATACTCAAAGAGGAATGATGTCACAAGTATTTAGTGTACAGCGATATCTTAAGTTAGTGATGTTTCGGTATGTATGTAATGCATGCGAAATTACATACTTTAGAGAGAATGCAAATTGGCATCTCTCTTCGCTTCGCTTTTTCTTATAAAATGGAAAAAAAAGGAAACTGAATAGCAATACGCATTGAATATTAACATATCCTGTTAAATTTAACATCAAATTACTGCCAATGTCTGCCAAAAATATAATATCACATGCAATACGCGAGAAGAAAGGAAAGAGAACAGCTAGTCGAAAATGTATACGATCCCGTTTACAGAGATTACCAACGAAACGTTGATCAATTTTGGCACACGTATGACAAGGTGCCTGTTAAATTATGTGCCATGATGTAACGTCTGATCTATTTTTTCATGTGATACGTTTATACGAAGTTTGGTAATCTTTTGCGAATTATATACAATCTGTATTGTATAGGAAATAGCAATGTAGCCATCATTCCTCTTAATTTTTTGCCAGATTTAAACGAAATGAAAAAAACAAGAATGAGCTATTTCTGCATAATCTTCCTCAGAGTGCAGAATGAACAAATTGTGTAACGGTTAATTGCAAGTAAACTTGTGTTCTGATAATTTAATATTACCATAAAATAGTATATATTATATTTGAGTACACGCAGTCTTGGCATCTGTTTTTAATGCCTCCTCATCTCTTTCTCTCGACAAAATACAGTCTCTAATACTTATAATATATACGATGTTGTAGTAATCTTGTATTAAATTTATAATGATTTTCTGTGTTCTACAAAGAAAACAAAATGAAAAGGCAGTGTACTCTTATTCGTAATCGACGGTGCCCCGTGAAATATATATACGTATGCGTGTATATATAGTGTCATGTAATATCAGATGTACACAAAAATTCTGTACATTATTGTACCAATGATGTAACAAAATTAGCGCATCTTAACATCTAGCTCGATTTAAATGGAGTATCAAATGGAAGCTAGCTCTATCCTGTCAATAATTTAGCTTGTAATGTCGGTGAACTCTGATATTGATTCTCTTGCGCTTCATTGTATTATATGCTATTGACAGTCTATTGCTGCAAAAACATTTGTGCATGTTTAGTGCTAAGTTCATTCGTATTTGGGACCAAAGCAAAAGGATTAACATTATTTTTTTCTGAGTAACAAGTTACTTCTGAAAAGAAATAAATGAGATTCAGAACAATTATGTGATACATTAAAACTATGAAAAGACCTCTCTTGAACCTTATTCATAGGATTCCATCTTCCAGTATTGATCTTTTGATAATATTGGAAAAGGAATTAAATGAGAATGCATTACAATATAAATGTAAAACTACTTATTCATTTGCTTCCATTTAAAGGAGAAACATTTTTGTAAATGCAACTCAAAATTGATGCCAATTGGATGCCGTTGAATAACATTACGTGCGTTTTAAGTACATTGAGGATGTACAGTATTCTTTTTAAGATTTATACGTAACAAATGAAAGGAAAAAAAAATTTAGAAATTTCACTGCGTCTTGTCGATTTCACGAATTCAAGTACCACGATTCAAATTGAATTATGTAAGTTTCTGTAGTCTTGTGTATACAAATGCATGAAAATTTATAACATTCCTTTTAGACATATATACCGAACGTTATTAGAACGTATATGTCTGAATAAATGGAGAACGTATTTATTGCAAATAATTTATATGTAAGAACAAAGAGTATTGATATATTTACTATTTTACAATAATAATGTTGAAATAATTTAAATTTATCATCGGCACACACACACACACACACACACGTACATACACACATACAGACACACGTACACAGTGGCAAATGCACAAGATCTCAGAAATAAACATGAACGTCCGTAGGATAACCATAATTGCAGAAACATAGAAATAATAGCTATGAGATATTAAAGTGTGCCTAACATAGTAACGTTTATGTTATAAGTTAATAGAGATTAGAAAGCATTTCAATGATATTAATCTATCGACCATGCGCAATGTAGCCTCGAAACTAGCACTTGTCCGAAACGTTTGCTCCTTTTGATTATATAAAATCATCTGTTTGTCAGAGATTTTAATTAAAAATTTTAGACTCTGTACGTATTAATTATACCAGGCAACGCAAAAGACTGACGAAGATTATTGTAATCAGTATTAACTAACATTGGTATTTTACATACAATATATACATATATATAATATATATATACACATACACACACACACACACACACATACACAGGACACATACGTATATACAAATGACTTTGTACTAAATTCTATTTTGGCTGCTTGTTATTTTTATTATTAAACGTAAATTATTAGTATCATTAAAGTGATACAAATGTAATTTCGTTATTACAATGTAACTAATTTACGCCATTTTAGGAGCCAACATGTCCTTAGCACATCATATTCATCTAGCTTTTATGTATACTAATAAATTTAATGACACTAATTATAAGTAGTGTTTTTAATGAAAATCCTTCCTATCTTTGCGAACCTTTACAAACTTGACTTAAGATTGAAATAAAACCTCGTAGAAGCTAGGTAATTAAAAAGATTATTTTTAAGAAAATCTATAAGGAAAGGTAACAATAACAACTACCGAGGAGACCAGCGTATAATAAATTGTATTTCATTCGTTATATCATTAGTTAAAAGGTCATTTACCAATATATAAGACTGTCCTGTGTACATTTGCTTTTTTTCTCTTTGATATTAATACCTCTTATACGCGCAAATAAGTGTTCATGGATCAACTGACTTTGAGGCGTATTATATAATTTTAGATTATCGAAAACATGTAGATAATTGCCACAATGGGTTTTCCCTTTCTTGTAATCTTTTTTTTACAAGAGACTTCAATACGCCTCAATTGTCAGATTGATTTTAAAAGTGCTCTCGTTTCCAGGTATATTTATTTAATGTATACACGTTTTTAGAAATAACGAGATCTATTACGTTTTGTTAATATTCTGGTAATTTTTAAATGCACCCGGGCAAGTACACGAACTATCTTATGTATAATGATCTATTTACAAACGCGAGGGAGGATTGAGCTCTCCCATTTCAATTCATAAAGTTGAAACTGCATACTGACTTACAAAATATAAGAAGTCAAAGTTCGCCGACTAAATTAAAGTCCAAGAATATTCAATTTTTGTCATATAGTAGGAACTTACGCGAATTGCATATTCTGCATTTCACGCAATATTTACATTTCTCGAATGTGGCGAAAAGGATGTAAAGTGTGTACTTTACACAATAAACTGTACAATATCAGTGTCCGTTCAGCGAGCTTCTCTCCACTTCATCATTTCGTTTTTTATAAACTATAATTACACTCACACTACCCGATACTTTTAAGCAACTATCTATATTTTAGATTTTAGAACAGATATGTACAAAGTGATTTTAATCACCTTGCTCGTCTAATTGTCACATATAAAAAAACTACGAGAAATTATTCAGGAGAGACATACACATATATACCTGACACATTGAAGACAACAAAATAACATACTCAGATATTTTAGAATTCGAGTATGCAACAAAATCGATATGTAAGTATCCCCTCGAATACAATAAAATGATAAAAAGTTCTAGAACGCGAGATGGATTACACCAACATTGATTAGCACTTAACATTTTCTTTTTCTACATTAAAAACTAAAAAGCTAAAAGTGATAAAAAAGAATAAGAAATTTCTAAGCTTAGTGAACCATAATTATTGGTGCAATCACAGTAAAACATCATTTTTACACATACAGATTATTGTTTAGACAGAATATGAATCCAGGACAGAATTTTAAGTTTCTTGAACGTACCAGCGTATAAGTATACAGTAAATAATATTTATTTACAGTTACAATATATTTTTGCAGACGGGCCCAGACAATTTAATTGTGTCTGATAGCGCAAGCATACTGTCTGCTTCATGCAGAACATTACAATTACTGTATTATGAACACAAAGTTGAATACGGTAGTTTTGCAGCAGCTAAATTATAGTTACATGTTGTTAGCCTGCATCTTCAGTTAGGCTTTACATGTGTGAACGTAATAATTTAAATGTAAGACAATTCAATATAAAAATATGGGGGTTTAATTATGGAAAAATGGGCCTCTACGTTCGCGTCTTATCGCCTACATATCTATTACTTACAATTTAGATTACCAATATTGTTCATGTTATCTCCTATTCTAAAACCATTAGCGGCATTGTGGGTGGTATTGTTTGTAAACAATACAATTCATTTAAATACTATCTCATTGTAACTTTTAAGTGAAAAAACTCCTGTCTCGTTATGCCCTAGCACACCGTTGAAACACTTACACGCACATTCATCCGTCTTAGGCACATTACATACTCTACATAAAAGCACATCACAATCATGTTTGAGCTGATCTCAAACGGTCTTCGCTCACTTGTGTTTTGCCGACCAACATGATCATAGATAAAGATGTATACAGGCTACATATGAGACAAGTTGTATGAGAGCGGCACTGATCATAAGTTGGCATGAGACTAATAGGAGTTTAATATGAATTAAGAGTACGCTCATGTAGCATAGCGCTTGGTCCAAAGCCGTGCTATGCGATCGTGTTCTTCTCTATTTTGCAGGTATTGCGTGGCTATACTACCGACCAGCGGATCAGCTGCAAGATAAAATTATGTGAGATTTGCGTAACTATTATTATGTAAAAGAAAATACGGAAATACGGTAACAGAATGTTATCTCAAGAATGAGAGCGATAACGACACACTCATTATTTATAATGTACATACCATACATCAAATTTAAATAAATTATCGTGAATAATCCGCCTACCTGGATTGCAGTCTGTTAAAAGGGAACATATTGACAATAATACTTTCGAAATTGTCAACGCGGGGGACCAATTGTCCTTTAATATGTCCAAGCAGATGACTCCTTGACTGTTTATATTGCAATGGTAGATGCGCGTTCGGAATGTAACCTGTAGAGCAACACATTTTTGTTGGAAATATAAAGCGTACGTCGCACTATCTAAAGTAAATTAAGTGACTGTAAAAACTTTATTAGGAAATTTTATATACGAAAGGGATTAGTGCAATTTTACCAGCCTCTTTACAAATAACTATACATCAACAAGTAAAAGGTAGGCCCTGCGAATACAATGCGAATAAAAGTGTGTATTTTAAAGCGCTTTTGGTATATTAATAAAACACGCGATTATAAATCTCGATTTATAATTATGTAGTTTATTAGTAATTAAGGATTGTTATAAAGTTAACTTGCACACTGTTAACCGTGTGGTATTCTCGAAGCTCACCTTTTACTTTACTCATTAATTTCATTATCGGAAGTTCTTAGTTATCGAGCCACTCGTTTGAATTATTTATCACATAATGAATATTGGTGTAATTTATTAAAAGTATACGGATATCTCAAGAGTCTTATGCGAAAAGATATCGGTGTTTCAAATACTTCTTCCTCACTTTGACATTGCCACGATCCTGTTGTCGCATGCAATGTAAAATCAACGACGCCATCGAATCAACCTACCTTCGGAGGCTTAAAAGGATATTCTGGAGAAAAGTGTATGTCAAGAAAGAAGACACCACCCTCATAAACTGAACCGGGAGGACCCAAAATGGTGGAAACCCATTCGTACAAGTTATCACCTTTCGGTCCTGCGCTGTAAAGTGAATTAATCGACAATTAATTCGATTGTCTACACACCATTCTCACAAAGTGTGCGTTTCACAACTCGTATTATCACGTAGCTGTTACATCTCGAGATAATTTTGCGAAAAGAAAAGCAATAACCATACCTGCAATTCGGGGGTGGATCAAGCGTAATTTCTGCCAGTTCCTTTTGTATCCTGAAAAAGATATATTGAGAGCATTTAGCGACCACGAATCACTCTGTTATCCGAGAATGTCGCACACGTAAGTGCACGTAATTACCGTGTTGCGGAACGACAGTCTATTACCTCTTAGCGGACGTTCCTAACGCTTTCGACATCTTTGGATTTGGCTTAGCTTCTTTACTGTCTGGTTTATTGTCTGCCAAGGAGGAGCCACGTCCTCGTCCAGTTCCACTAGAGCCTGCTCCTGACGACATGACTCTGCGACCAAACATACAAGTGTTGTTAATTACTCAAAATGTCAACTGTCAACCTACGGCGGTAGGACGGCTGAAGGACGAGTATCATAGGAGCCAAAATAGCGCCGGGGCATCGTGGAATGGAATACACGTCGTGTTTATGTCCCGCCGTGGGTATTCGTGAAATTGTTTTACAGACAGACCAATCGTGGACTCTGCCCCTGCGTGAAACACAGATCCGATTGCAAGAGAAAAAGGTGGGGCACCGGAACGCGAGTCCAGTTCGTGAGGGCTAAAGGCCTGTGTCCACGATGCTAGAACTTGG